ATGAAAGGGTATTACCATTCTTTATCATTCTGGCTGAACCAGAAATCTAGGAGTGACCTCTCATATCCAATAATCATTTCACTCCCATGGGATTCTATTTCCTAAATTACTCTGGACTCTTTCCATTTCTACTACCACAGTCTTAGGTTGGATTACCATTCACACCCATCAAGACTACTAAACTAATCTTTTAGGTGACTCTTCACTATATACTCTAACTCCTTTCTAATCCATCTTCTATACTGGGCTCAAAATGACCTTTTGAAAATCTAATTTCACTCCTTTGCCTAAAATGTAGGCCTTCACAAACATGTTTCTCAAGCCTTAGTGTGCATAACATTCATCTGGAAAATTTGTTTAAAATATAATTCCTGGGTCCCACTCCTACCTTTTCTTACACTGGGATTCTGTAAAACCCAGAAATCTTAAATTTTAACAAACTGCTCTAGGTGATTCTGATGCAGTGGGTCTAGAGGCTTTAAAACAAAGTACAAAATGTTTATTGTGTCCTATAAGACTCTGAATGACTCCTTCCATACCTTACCTCTCAGCATTTTCTCTTACTTTAAACTAAAGAAACATTTCTTTTTTATTATTATTTTTTTTTTTGACAGGCAGAGTGGACAGTGAGAGAGAGAGAGAGAGAAAGAAAGGTCTTTCTTTACCATTGGTTCATCCTCCAATGGCCGCTGCAGCCAGCACATTGCGGCCAGCGCACCATGCTGATCCAAAGCCAGCAGCCAGGTGTTTCTCCTGGTCTCCCATGGGGTGCAGGGCCCAAGCACTTGGGCCATCCTCCACTGCCTTCCCGGGCCACAGCAGAGAGCTGGACTGGAAGAGGAGCAACCGGGACAGAATCCGGCGCCCCAACCAGGACTAGAACCCGGTATGCCGGCGCTGCAGGCGGAGGACTAGCCTATTGAGCATCGGCGCCGGCCTAAAGAAACATTTCTAAGAATATGCTAAGCTCTGTGCTACTTGAGGATTTCTGTACATACTATGCCTCTGCCCGGAACACTCTCCCTGTTTTATATTCACTTACTTCTCTTCATCTCTGAGGTTAAATGACTTCCTTGAGAAAATCTATCCTGACTCCAGAGCCATTAGGTCTTCCATGTAATGTGCTCCAGCACAACAATTTTTAAAAATTAATTAATTTATCTGAAAGGCAGAGTTACAGAGAGAGAAGGAGAGAGAGAGAGAGATCTTCCATCCAGTGGTTCACTCCCCAAATGGTTGCCATGGCCAGGCCAAAGCTAGGAGCCAGGAGCTTTACTTGGGTCACCCACATGGGTGCAGGGGCCCTCGTACTTGGGCCATTCTCTGCTCTTTTCCCAGGTGCTTTTGCAGGGAGCTGGATCAGAAGTGGAGCAACTAGGTCTGGAACTGGTGCTCACATGGGATGCTAGCATTGCAGGCGGTGGCTTCTACCAGCACCACAACGTCAGCCTAAGCACAGCAGTCCTTATTGTATGGTTTGGGGACTCTAATAGGGAGTCCATGAGATCAAAACTATTTTCATACTACTGAGGCATTATTCACCATTTTCTTTCATTCTCTCACTAGGAATATGGAGTTTTCTAGAGATTCCAGGTCACATGAGAACACCGACCAAATCCAATGGTTTTCTATTAAGCTGGATGTTAAAGATATTGGCAAAAACATAAAACAATGCCACTCTTCTCATTGAATAATTTTGTTTTAGAAAATGAGTTTTTGGAGGCCAGCACTGTGGGATAGCAGGCTAAGCCTCCACCTGTAGCACCAGCATCTCAAATGGGCACCAGTTTTGAGTCCCAGCTGTTCCACTTTTGATCCAGCTCTCTGCTTTGGCCTGGGAAAGCAGTACAAGATGGCCCAAGTGCTTGGGTCCCTGCACCCACATGGGAGACCCGGAAGAAGCTCCTGGCTCCTGGCTTCAGATCGGCTCAACTCTGGTTGTTGCAGCCATTTGGAGAGTGAACCAACAGATGGAAGACTTCTCTCTGCCTCTGCCTCTCTGTAACTCTGCCTTTCAAATGAATAAATAAATAAATCTTAAAATTTGTTTTTAAAAAAAATGAGTTCTTCTAAGTTTTATTTTATTTTTAAATGAGATTATTTATGGCTTCTAATGTGATGTTTTCATTTATTTTCTTTTATTTGAAAGGCAGAGAGACAGAGGGAGCTCTTCCATCTACTGGTTCGCTCCTCAAATGCCTGAAACAGCCAGGGTTGGGCCCAGATGAAGCCAGGAGCCCAGAACTAAATCCAGATCTCCTGCATGCATAGCAGGAACCCAAGTACTAGAGCCATCATTGCTTGCCTCTTAGGGCACACATTATCAGGCAGCTGAATCACAAGCAGCGAAACCAGAACTTGAACCAGGAACTCCAATATGGGATATGGCCATGCCAATTGGCAGCTTAATTGATACACCAAATGCCCAGCATCAATATGATGTTTTCATACAAGGTATGCAGTTTGCAATGACTAAATCAGGATAATTAGTACCTCTACCCCTCAAGTATCACCTTTTCTTTATGGTGAAGTAATTCAAATCCACCTTTCTAGCTTTTTAAAATATGCACTACTTTTTTTTTTATCTTTTATTTAATGAATATAAATTTCCAAAGTACGACTCATGGGTTACAATGGCTTCCCCCCCCATACCGTCCCTCCCACCCACAACCCTCCCCTTTCCCACTCCCTCTCCCCTTCCATTCACATCAAGATTCATTTTCGATTATCTTAATATACAGAAGATCAGCTTAGTATACCTTAAGTAAGGATTTCAACAGTTTGCTCCCACACAGAAACATAAAGTGAAAAATAATAGATGATTTTTTTTAAATGATGATGAAATCAGATCAGACCTATTGTCATGTTTAATCCCAGTGAGAGTCAAGTTGGGAATTGATAATTTCTTTTTTTTTTTTTTTTTTACAGAAGATCAGTTTAGTGTACATTAAGTAAAGATTTCAATCGTTTGCACCCCCATAGAAACACAAAGTGAAATATACTGTTTGAGTACTCGTTATAGCATTAAGCCTCAGTGTACAGCACATTAAGGACAGAGATCCTACATGAGGAGTAAGTGCACCGTGACTCCTGTTGTTGACTTTACAAATTGACACTCCTGTTTATGGCATCAGTAATCTCCCTATGCACCAGTCATGAGTTTCCAAGGCTATGGAAGCCCCTTGAGTTCTCCGACTCTTTTAACTGTAGTCATTCTACTGTGCAGTAACACACCAGAACTTATTCCTTCAAATTGTAACTTTGCTTCCATTGACCAATATCTCTCCTTACCTCTACTACTCTTCCCCCTAAGCCTCTGTTAATGCCTATTACACTTCTCTACTTCATGAGTTCAACTTTTTAAGTTTCCATGAATAAGTGATATCATAAGTCAACTGTCTCTTTGTGCCTAGCTTATTTCACTTAATAATTCATCCATGTTGTTGCAATTGACAGAATTTCCTAATTTTTTAAAATAAATTTGTTTATTTATTTGAAAGGCTGGTTCACTCTCCAAATGCTGGAAACAGCCAGAGCTGGGCCAGGCCAAAGCCTGGAGCCATGAACTCAATCCAGGTCTCCCAAGTGGATGGCAGGGACTCAACTACTTGTTGCCTCCCAGAATTCATATTAGCAGGACCCTGGAATCAGGACTTGAACCCAGGCACTCTTATATGCGATGTAAGTGTCCCAACTGGTGTCTTAACTGTTACATCAAATGACTATCCCTGATTTTCAGTGGCTGAATAGTTCTCTATTGTGTACACAGATGCTCCTCAACTCATGATGGGATTATGTCCTGATTAAAAACCATCATAAATTGAAAATTTATTAAGTCAAAATACATGTAATATAACTCATCTACCAAACATCATAGCTTAGTAACACAGTATACTGCACAGTATCATTGTTCAAACTTGTTTTCACATGGCTATCTGGAAGCTGTGGCTTGCTACCACCATCCAGCCTTGTGATAGTGTGGTATGACATAATGCTAACCTGGGAAAAGATAAAATTCTATATTCATTGTTTGATTTCCAGTGAAAGTGTATCACTTTCACACCATTGTAAAGTCAAAAAATCCTAATTTAAAGAAACCACCCTAAAGGCTGCCTGTATATACCATACTTTAATCCATTATCTGCTGATGGATGGAAAATAGTTCTTTAAATAAAGTATATACACTTATGTTGGTTGGTTTATTATAAGTTGAAGATGAATTATTAAATTTTTTGTTTTCACTTCTAATATGGGAGGATGGCCCATATCAATAAATAAAAATCACATAAACAAAAGGTCTTTGGAAAGCTTCCATAATTTTTAAGTGTAAAGGATGCTGACAACCCAAAGTTTGGGAACCTCTTCTCTAACCATATACTTTATCAAAATAATTATCATATTGCAAAGCATTTTATCAATTATTTTTAGTTAGGCCGGCGCCGCGGCTCACTAGGCTAATCCTCCACCTAGCGGCGCCGGCACACCGGGTTCTAGTCCCGGTCGGGGCGCCGGATTCTGTCCCGGTTGCCCCTCTTCCAGGCCAGCCCTCTGCTGTGGCCAGGGAGTGCAGTGGAGGATGGCCCAGGTGCTTGGGCCCTGCACCCCATGGGAGACCAGGAAAAGCACCTGGCTCCTGGCTCCTGCCATCGGATCAGCGCGGTGCGCCGGCCGCAGCGCGCCGACCGTGGTGGCCATTGGAGGGTGAACCAACGGCAAAAGGAAGACCTTTCTCTCTGTCTCTCTCTCACTGTCCACTCTGCCTGTCCAAAAAAAAAAAAAAATTATTTTTAGTTACTTACTTCTACGTTCCCCCACTAAATTGTAAGACCTTCAAAGGCAAGAATCTATGATTGGAATCCCAGAACTAACAGAAATGATTAGTACATAATAGACTATATTTGTTGTGACTGTTTTTTTATTCAGATTCCTCGATATTTAGTACTTTGGATGTGGATGCATTAAACTTTGTTGATGAAATATTATTTCAATTACATAATTACCTTTTCCGGAATGCTGACGTGCTCACTCCTTTATCTTCTGTAAAATTAACTAATTTTGTATCAGCAGGAACACTTTTCTCAGGTGCTACTGCAGAGCCAATGTGATTTTTATATTTCTGAGAACAATATGTCAGCTTCCCAGCAACATGTGGCAAATCATTGTTATCTGTCACTCCTAAATTTTGATCTTCTTGCTCATATCTATAAGGGTGGAAGGCAAACTGGAAATTTTGTGTTGGGGTAACATAATCTTCATTAGTAATCTTTAAATTTGATGTTAACATTTTTGGCCTCTTTTCCTGACCTACAAAAAAAGATATATTTATCATTACATGTTCTCCATGAAAACAAATTTTCAAGATGATGATGGATAAATTTTCAAAAGAATTGACTAGCTAAATATGAAAGCTGAAAGAAAACTATTAGAAGAATAGCAAAATAATCTATACCATATATAGTTTTGAAATACAGGTAGTTGTTACTCTTATGGTATATTACATCAATGAAGGGAGCTCTGAAATTAATTCTAAATAACTGAAATTAAATTTGAAATTTATATAAAATCTCTATTATAAAATTGGTTTCATCCTGACCCATTAAAAATAACTATAGTTATGATATTTAATTATTTTAGTTACTATACATTATATAAGTATACAATAATGAAGATTTTTAAATATATATGAATAATATACACAAAGAAATACAATGATCAATAATAAAAACCATTACTGAATATGACCCAGTATTAAAATATATGACTCAATGCTTTTAACTTTTTAAGCTGGATTCTAAAATCAGGATAAAGAAACGTTTTCATAAAAGTGACAGAATTGGGGCTGGTGCTATGGTATAGGGGGTTAAGCCACTGTCTATAGTGCCAACATCCCATATGGGTGCTGGTTCGAGTCCTGGCTGCTCCACTTCCAATCTAGCTTCCTGCTAATGCAACTGGGAAAGCAGTGGAGGATGGTGAGTACTTGGGCCCACGCATTCATGTGGGAGCCCTGGATGAGGCTGCTGGCTCCTGGATTTGGCATGGCCCAGCCCTGACTGTTTAATAAGGTGTATATGTATGAACCTACTACACAATTTGAAAATTGAAATTCTACCAATAATATTAAATTGGCTCACATACAATTTGAGTGTGCTTGCTTTTGGCCTTTATATAAATGGAATCAAACTACATAAAATCTTCTACCTCCTGCTTTTTTCGCTCAATCTATTTCACGGTTCCAGTTACCAGAGGATCTTACATTTAATAAAGGATGGCATGGGGCCGGCACTGTGGCATAGCAGGTAAAGCCACTGCCTGCAGTGCCAGCATCTTTTATGGGTGCCATTTCAAGTCCTGGCTGCTCCACTTCCACTCTAGCTCTCCTTGGGCCCCTGCACCCACATGGGAGACCCAGAAGAAGCTCCTGGCTCTTGGCTTTGGATCGGCCTAGCTCAGGCCATTGCAGCATTTGGGGAGTGAACCAGCGGATGGAAGACCTCCCTCTCTCCCTCTCTCTCTCGCCTTTCAAATAAATAAATAAACCTTTAAAAAATAAACATACTTCAAAAAAAAAGGATGGTATAAAAATTGAACAGTGACAAAAATTTTAAGAAGAAAAAATCTTCACAGAACAACAATCACAACAAACGTATGCAATAGTATATTATACATACACATGCATACATATGTGTATGGATGTTATGAAGAAGAAAATATTTTAGATTTTAAGATTTGAGGAGAACTGTTTTGAATGAGAAGTTTATGAGTTTCATTTTATCCCATTAAAGTAAGTAGTTCAATAAAGTATTTAAATGTAATATTCTAATGTGATAACTAGATTTTATATTGATATGCATAGGTTTGATTTCATGACAAATGTGATAATTTACCTATAAGATTATGACTTTCTATTTCTTCTTCTAGTTCTTCAGTATCTGGAATTTCTGAAATCAATGGAACGGATGGGAGAAACCAATCCAATGACTTTTCATTGTCTGAATAGCTACATAAAATATAAAATTGTGTATATATGTTAAAGATATAACCACAGAAACTATCCATTTATTAAATGTTACTCAGTTACTTACCATCTTATATAAACATTCTATAAACTAACTTTCTCTAACAACTTTGATTTATTCCTAAACAGCAGTATATGGGCAAACATTTTCTTCCTTGTGTGTCATAGGATTAATGGTACTGCTTATGTGAGATATTTTACCTAAATAATAGCCATAACTCCATCCTGTTTTCTCCAATTTAAATACTAGTGTCAGGAAGCTTAAATATACTCCAATAAAAAAAAAAAAAAAAGTTGTAGGGCGCTGGGTTCTAGTCCCGGTTGCTCCTCTTCCAGTCCAGCTCTCTGCTGTGGCCCAGGAGGGCAGTGGAAGATGGTCCAAGTGCTTGGGCCCCTGCATCCGCATGGGAGACCAGGAGGAAGCACCTGGCTCCTGGCTTTGGATCGGAGCAGCGCCAGCCATGGCGGCCATTTGGGGAGTGAACCAATGGAAGGAAGACTTTTCTCTCTGTCTCTCTCTCTCTCACTGTCTATAACTCTACCTGTCAAATTAAAAAAAAGTGGTAAAACATTCTCAAACTTTGGTATTTTAACTATTAAAAGTAACAAATTCATTATTATTTACCTCACAACTTATTATGGATAATCAAAAAATAACACCATTACTGATAGTCTAAAATATTTCTAAAGCATTATTACAAATTCTTTTTTTTTTTTTTTTGACAAGCAGAGATAGACAGTGAGAGAGAGAGACAGAGAGAAAGGTCTTCCTTCCGTTGGTTCACCCCCCAAAATGGCCACTAAGGCCGGAGCTATGCCGATCCGAAGCCAGGTGCTTCCTCCTGGTCTCCCATGCAGGTGCAGGACCAAGGCCATCCTCCATTGCCTTCCCGGGCCACAGTAGAGAGCTGGACTGGAAGAGGAGCAACTGGGACAGAACCAGCATCCCAACCAGGACTAGAATCCGGGGTACCAGCGCAGCAGGTGGAGGATTAGCCTAGTGAGCCATGGCACGGGCTGCATTATTACAAATTAATGCACTAATTCAAACACTTAAGCTCCAGAACCATTTGTAAAACCACAGAAAATCAAGATGCCAGTTGAAATTAACAATCTTTTTATAAATCTACATAACTGATTTTGCCACCCTATTGGCATCTTTATCCCTCCTCATCTTTCAGCTTGGATACAGGTAACTGATACTGCTTTAATGTTTCGTTTTCAATTAAAGTTGAAATAAAGAGGTAAATGGTAGGTTACAGGAAATAAAGTTGAGAAGAGTATCATTATACTGTTATACCAAATCCCAGGGATTTCATGATTTTTCTAATCTCTTCACGTAAGATATTACACCCTCTGAAAGACAGACTTACTTTTCTACCTCTCACAGCACCTAAAACAAAGCTACTGCAGCCATATTTTCCAAATCAAAAATCTACAACATGTTATTTGACAATGGTCTAACAGAATGAAAACTGGCCAGATCATTTAAAATTTAGGTCTATATCAGAAGATCCCCATGATCATACCCAGTTCAATGGTTCCCTAGGATAACGTGCAGGACTCATCATACAGTCCTAGTCACAAGTGAGAGGCAAAGTCTGAGAGAAACCAGGCAAAAGCTTCCAAGAGTCCTCTCCCAGTACAGTCGCAGGGGACACATACAATTCTCTCACTAATGAGTTATAGTAACATATGAGAAATGTTGCCAACAAGGGAAGTTCATTAGGGACTCAATGTTCAGGATTTTTATTGGAAGCTAATCACGTAAGCATCCCTTGTCTGGAACATACCTAAATTCTGCTATAGACTATAAAAAAGTAAAATAAAATAAAAAAAATAAAAAAGAACTCGTATTCATTCAAAGTCCAGTTCAAAACTTACCTTTTCCAAGAAACCTTTTATTATTATTATTATTATTACTTGACAGGTAGAGTTATAGACAATGAGAGAGAGAGAGAGACAGAGAGAAAAGTCTTCCTTCCATTGGTTCACTCCCCAAATGGCCGCCATGGCTGGCGCTGCACTGATCCAAAGCCAGGAGCCAGGTGCTTCTTTCCGGTCTCCCATGCTGGGGCCATCCTCCATTGCATTCCCGGGCCATAGCAGAATGCTGGACTGGAAGAGGAGCAGCCAGGACTAGAACCCAGCGCCCATATGGGATGCCGGCACTGCAGGCGGATTAACCAAGTGAGCCATGGCACCAGTCCCTCCAAGAAATCATTACCTATTCCCAACAATTTCCTCCCTTCCCACTTCTTATAGACTGAACCTATAAATTTCTTATACTAAGACAGGACAGAAATAGGATTCACAAAATCAAGTCTCTCCCCACCTGCCCATGTATCCATCTCCAATACAGGTGGCCTCACACAGCTCCAAACCAATCAGAAACAAGCAAAATCTAGACTCTAGCCACAAAAAATCCCTAGTGCCCTGTTAGGACTTTCCCAACTCACATGTATGCCCAGAATACCCCAGTACAACCAATACATGATTTTCCTAGAGGCAGCAGTGAACAATTACCACCATTTAGAGTGGGTTGTGTGTAAAAGGAATGCAGGATCTGTTCAGAATACCAAGCTGGGTACAAAGAAAAGTGTGGCATGCTGAGCAAGATAAGCCAGAGAGCAAGAAGATGTTTTCATGCCTCCCCAGTATTGTAAAAATTAGCTCCCTTTGAGGGACAGTCTGGTGGAATCTCTTTCCACTGTGCTGTCTCCCTTGTGCTCACAAATAACTCTCTAGTAAACCTTGTCTGAGTTGAACTGTCAGCCTCTTGTGAATTTCTATTGCAAGTGATTCATACAACCTTGTGTCAGTATCATTAATTGTGTGTGTGTGTGTGTGTGTGTACACAGAGAGATAATAAATGGATAAACAGAAATAGATAGACAGGGGCCAGCACTGTGGTGCAGCGGGTTAGAGCCCTGGCCTGCAGCACCAGTATCCCATATGGGCGCTGGTTTGAGTCCCGGCTACTCCACTTCCAATCCAGCTCTCTGCCATGGCCTAGGAAAGCAGAAGATGGCCCAAGTTCTTGGACCCCAGCACCCATGTGGGAGACCCTGAGGAAGCTCCTGGCTTCAGATCAGCTCAGGTCTGGCCACTGCAGCCTTTTGGGGAGTGAACCAGCAGATGGAAGACCTCTCTCTCTCTGGCTCTACCTCTCTCTGTAACTCTATCAAATAAATAAAACAAATCTTTAAAAAAATAAATATATAGACAGATAGATCTGATACCCATCCACTTATATCAGCAATATTTAACACAATGATTTATAAAATTAAGTATACCATGCGATAAATGTTTGTTGATTTAATTCCATGGCTTTTAACGCATAGAGAATTGTGTCCAAGATCCTGTGGGGAGCAGCCCGGACTGGACTGAGTTACTGGAATTAAGACTTATTCTATTCGTCTGCTCTCCCACAATATGGCGCTGGGAGAGAAGTAAACAGCTTCTGCACAGCTGCCTCCAGTTCAGCCAATAAACTGTAGGACTTGCTTCTGATTGGAGGAGAGCAGCGTACTCGGCATGTGGGCAGCCGAGTTGGGATTGGCAGAGGAGGACTATAAAGGAGGAGAGAGACGGCATGCACCGGGAACATCTAAGGGGAACATCTGAGGGAACGCCTGTGCAGCCCCCAAGAGAGCCGGCCGGTGGTGTGCCGCTCCCCTGCGGAAGTGGGGAATGTGGCCAGGGGGAACTGCCCTTCCACGGAGGTGGAAGGGATAGTAGCCAACCCGGGAAGAACCAGCAGCAAGCCCGGGGAGGGCCGAGCAGACGAAAGAACAGCGCAGGGTCCTGTGTCGTTCCTCCACGAAGAGGGGGAGCGACATAATGGTGCCGTGACTCGGATGTGAAGCCTAGGCAGGGCTTAGTGTCGTTCCTCCACGAAGAGGGGGAGCGACAGATCCTTATTCCAGCATTTGACAATCACCACAAGTGCCGTAAACTTATTTTCCTAATTTTACGTTCCTCTGTTTCTCCTTTATGAATTGTCTTCTCAAGAAACTTCATATATTATCCCCTAAGAGTACCATGAATTGTCCTACCTTCATTTTTCTCTCCTGCTGTAACACTCTGCCTTCAAATTTCTACAACCTTTCTGGCTACAAGAATTACTAAATCCTTTAAAAACCCCTAAAGCCTTTCCCCACTACCATAAAGCTTGACTTGATCATCTGGATCAGGATAACCTTGCTTTCAAATGTGAAATTGCATTGAATGACTACTCATATATACTTACCATTTGCTTTGCAAATATTTTTTATTTTGTATTGTTAAGATGACCCATAGGTTCCAAAATTTGCCTAGGCCAGTTCTGTTACCCACTCTTTCACTCTCAAAAGCATCCCCATCTGAATGATGAATTAAGTCACATTATTTACTAATGATCTTTCCATATGTATATCTAATTTAACTAGATCTTAGGAATGTTTTAAAGCAAAAGTCTGGTCTTTCTTAATATCCTCTCATCATTCAATCAATACTTGTGTGAATGAATGAATGAAATAATAAATGAAGCAATACATGTCATCAAAATAGTTAATATATTAGAATACATAGAAAATTTAGAATTAAGACTAATTCACATGTGAAAACTCATAAATCTAGTAATTAACATACTACCTATTCTCTGTTCTTGTTGCCCTTTGTCTCACATCTTTATTTCCACCTGTTACTGCCTGCCTATACTGAATTTGACTATCACATTTGGCCTTTGGTACATTGTCCCTTCTGTTTCCAGAGGGTCTCATCATTTCTTGTCCTGAATTATTCTTTGGTCATTACTTCTAGTCTTTACCTTGGCCAAAAATAATTGAAATAAATCAAGAATGCAAATAAATGAAAGCCAAATAGACAAAAACCTATTCAGTTTTCCAAATTGTAATATTTGAGATGTTAAACTTCAATTACTATCTTATATCTAAATTCCCTGTTCACAAAATATACCACTGAAACATCATTCTGCTGATTCCTCATTTTTATATTTATGTTTACCAGAGAGAAAATTAAAACTCTCTAAAATTCTAAAAACCCTAAGGTCATACACTATATTATCATTCTTTAAGGCAGACTTACTTTTCAACTTCATCTTGTTTTTTGAAAAACAAATTTTCCACAGGAAACAAGCAATCATTTGATTTCAGCATTGTTGAAAACTGGACTTTGTCATAAATCTACAAAATTTAGAAAAAAATAGTTCATACTTTATTTACAAAGGTGTTGAAAAATATTTCTGAATATACAGTATATTAACTAATTTTCCAGAATGGCTTATAAATTATAACTACTATAACTATGGCTTATAAATTATAACTACTATAACTAAATTATAACTACTATAACTTTCCAGCTTCATCTTCCACAACTTCTCCAAAGTGCCTTAACATCCAAATACATTATTCTATGTTCTCCACTCATTCATGCATTTTTACATTTCAATCCCTCTCTCATACTGCCTAAAAGCTTAGAATGTATTTCCTTTTGTTTTCCATGTGGTAAATTCCTACCCATACTTCAAGGTATAGGTCAAGAGTCATTTCTTCAAAGACTTTTTTGAATTTCTCTCTTTCCCCAAGGCAGAAGTAATTGTTACTTTTGGACTCTTAATACTTTGTTCACACTATTAGTTTTGAGTTAGGCTAGAACATTTTATTGTGGATATGTATACCTTTAACAATAAAAGTATGTATATATACAGAGATCTGTTTCAAAATAAAGAGATAGAGTAAGAGGAATTATCATTGAAACCACATTGGTAATGAGTTGATAATTACTAATGCAACGTAAAAGGTATGTGGAGAGTCATTATAACTGCTTATTTTTGTATGTTTGAACTTTTTCAAAATAAATATACATATATATAGTAATAACATGTAACATGAGTATATACATATAAATTCTACATTCCTTTATAAAAAATATTTTTTATCTTCAGATATATTATCTAGGGGTAGGTGCTTGGTGCAATGGTTAAGACACTGCTTGGGATGCCCACATCCCGTATCAGAAGCCCTGGGTTCAAGTCCAAATTCTGCTTCTCATTCCAGCTTCCTGCTAAAGCACACTCTAGGAAGCAGCAGCTGATGGCTCAAGTACGTAGGTCCCTGCTACCCACATGAGAAAACCAGATTGTGTCCCCAGCTCCTGGCTTCAGAATGGCCCAGTTCCAGCTGTTGCAGAAATTTGGGGAATGAACCAGCAAAGGGAAGACACCCCCCCCCCAATCCCAGCTGCCTTTCAAATAAAATGTAATAAATAAGTTAGAGAAAATCACTGTTTTAAAAAAGAAGTATTTTCTTTTTTAAAAAAAGATTTATTTTATTTATTTGACAGGCAGAGTTGCAGAGAGAGGTAGAGACAGAGAGAGAAGTCTTCCATCCGATGGTTCACTCCCCAGATGGCCACAACGGCCGGAGCGGCACGGATCCAAAGGCAGGAGCCAGGAGCTTCCGCCAGGTTTCCCACACAGGTGCAGGGGCCCAAGGACCTGGGCCATCCTCCACTATTATCCCAGGCCATAGCAGAGAGCTGGCTTGGAAGAGGAGCAGCCAGGACTAAAACCAGTGCCCATATGTGATGCCGGTGCTTCAGGCCAGGGTGTTAACCCGCTGAGCCACAGCGCTGGCCCCAAAAAAGAAGTATTTTCTAAATATAAAGGACACAAATGTTCAGCATTGGCCACCTGGAAATACACAAAATCCAGGACTGAACAATGATTTAAATGTAATAGGGAGATAGTGGCACCATTTCTGCAGGTACACATTGCTCCCTTCACATTTCAATTACTTTTCTCTACACATCAACACTACGTCTCTATTTTTTTTTTCTAAATTCTGAAACATGATAGAACATTCTGCATGACAAAACATGAAATCAGATGCACAAATCATAAAACATAAATCACATTTCTACTACTGTGAATGGGTAATACACTGCAAATTTGTCTTCAGGATAGAAATGAAAATCAAAGGAACTAGACGAGCGACATCTTGTGGAGAAATCATCTTTACCAAGTCAGATTTTGTCTCCACTTTTTGAGTCCTCCCTGAGGTAGGCATAAGCTATAAGTGAGATGTGGGGGAGGAAAAAATGTTTCTATGTGTTTCTACTTAAACTCCTTGACACAATGATACTGGTAACTGGGCTAAAGTTATATATATATACTTTAGAACTATTCTTACTGATTCAGAGATTTTTCATTATTTTAGTAATTGGATTTTTCCCCTCCTACCTGTTTAATTACTGTCTTCATTTTCCCCAATTTTTAAACCATTCAGTCATCAAAAAAAGATATAGTAGAAAAATGAAATTAGTTAGTATGATTCTACAAATGTCTGAAACCACGAATAACAAGACATGAGGCAGAAGGGAGTCATTCAGGAACATGCTAACAGAATCTTTCACATTTTCATTTAAGTAAAAAAAAATTCAGAAAGCAATAATCTGAAAATAAATGAAAATGCTAATCATGCTTTATATTGTCCAAAAAGTAACAAACTGTTTCCTTTCTAGTTTTAGAAGAACTATTTACTTTTTATTTATTTATTTATTTATTTATTTATTTATTTATTTTGACAGGCAGAGTGGACAGTGAGAGAGAGACAGAGAGAAAGGTCTTCCTTTGCCGTTGGCTCAGCGCGCTGCGGCCGGCACGCCGCGCTGATCCAATGGCAGGGGCCAGGTACTTATCCTGGTCTCCCATGCATGTGTAGGGCCCAAGCACTTGGGCCATCCTCCACTGCACTCCCTGGCCACAGCAGAGAGCTGGCCTGGAAGAGGGGCAACCGGGACAGAATCCGGCGCCCCGACCGGGACTAGAACCCGGTGTGCTGGCGCCGCAAGGCGGAGGATTAGCCTAGTGAGCCACGGCGCCGGCCAGAAGAACTATTTACTTTTAAACAGCAACAACAACAACAAAATTCCAAATTAAAACTCACCAGGCACTGTCATATGCTTTGTTAACCTCAAAATCTAAGCAGAAAGTCTTAAGGTTAACATCTATACACTTGGAGCTGGCACTGTGGTGCACGCAGTGGGTTAACGCCCTGGTCTGAAGCATCAGCATCCCAAATGGACGTCAGTTCGAGACCTGGCTGCCCACTTCCAATGGCCTCTCTATTATGGCCTGGGAAAGCAGTGGAGGATGGCCCAAGTCCTTGGGCCCCTGCACCCACATGGGAGACCTGAAAGAAGCTCCTGGCTCCTGGCTTCAGATCGGTGCAACTCCAGCTGTTAAAGCCAATTGGGAAGTGAACCAGCGGATGGAAGACCTCTCTCTCTCTCTCTCTCTCTCTATATATATATATATATATATCTGTCTCTCCTTCTTTCTGTGTAACTCTGACTTTCAAATAAATAAATAAATCTTTTTAAAAAATGTATACATTTGAATTGCTTATTCTAAAAAAAAAGAAAAACACCTGAAAAATAAAGACAATAAAACTATAAATCAGAAACACTTGTTTTGGAAAAAGTTTCATAAATTATTCCAAAATTTCCCAGATAAACAACAAATACTATGAAAAAAACTTTTGATTTCTAGCTCTGGTATAAAAGAGAATATAATGTGTTTTGGGTCAAAACAAAAACTTTACATAGACATTTTAGTTCTGATATACCCATATGGAATAAAAAAATCCTTTTATCAAAAATTTCCGTATCTTTATGCTGTATTACTTGTCCTTACAACACTAACTGCCATTGTATATGTTGTTGTTTATTCTCTTTCTCCCCCTAGGAGCAGGGACATTTAGCTCATTAACGTGTTCTATTCTTTTTTTCTTTCTTTTTTTTTTTTTTTGACAGGCAGAGTGGATAGTGAGAGAGAGAGAGAGAGAGAGAGAGAGAGAGAGAGAGAAAGGTCTTCCTTTTGCCATTGGTTTACCCTCCAATGGCCGCTGCGGCCGGCGCGCTGCGCTGATCCGAAGCCATGTGCAGGGCCCAAGCACTTGGGCCATCCTCCACTGCACTCCCTGGCCACAGCAGAGAGCTGGCCTGGAAGAGGGGCAACCGGGACAGAATCCGGTGCCCCGACCGGGACTAGAACTCAGTGTGTTGGCGCCGCAAGGCGGAGGATTAGCCTAGTGAGCCACGGCGCCGGCCACTAACGTGTTCTAATAACCCAGCCCAGAGCCTGTCACCTAAAAGATGGACCGTGAAAACTCACATTTGAAGAAATGTATTAGCGATGATCAGTTTATAAAAATAATTTAAACTTTTTTTCCATTAACTCTGAAACTCAAAAATTTAACTCCCCCCCCCAAATATTTAATGTTTAGTTTTCAAGATGTGAATTTTTTCTAGCTCAGGATTCATGTAATCCTATCACGAAGGTTCGAAAAGGTGATGGATTTGGTATTTTCACAATGTAAACTGTTTCTAAAAATATCGGCCTTAAAAAAGACCTTGTTACATTTCATGAGTTTGTCATGTAAGCAGATGCTGATTTTTTAATTAAAGTTCTACGTTTAGATTCAGATCTTCTTAAATTTTTGTGCTACATTATTACAAAGTTTTCATTTTAGCATGTGATACAAAATTATACTGCAAAACGCAGTATCATCCCAAATATTATTTTGTAACGTCTGCTCTGCCGTAACTAATCACGGTTAAAATATTTAAACTTTCTAACTACATAAATGGTTGCCTGTGGCCGGTGACCTGCAGCTTTCTGTTATCGTGAGAACTCAGCATTTTCTTATCTTCTGTATCCTTCCTTAACTGCGTAAAACGTACAATCTTTCCTCTTGGAAACATATTCCTCCCTTCCTAAGTGCAGAAAGTCAGATATAAACATATTGTCAGCGAAGAAGCCAACATTCACTGGAATAAGCCACACAAGCGACTGCGGGGAATCTGACAAGGGAACGGAACACACAGGGGGACCCCGTGACCCCGCGTCCAAGCTCGGGTGGGAGCCCCAGACCGCCGCCCTCCCCGGGCACGGACGGAGCGGGAAAGCTCCGGCCCAAGCCAAGCCAGCGCCGAAAGCAAACAAGGGCCGGTGGGTTTCCTGAGGACCACCCTAAATCCCAACCAGCCCACCCCAGGCTCCCAACTGCAAGGCAGAAAGAAGCCTCGGCCCCGAGGAGCCGCGCTCCCACCAGCGCCGGGCCACTCTGCCCCGGGGCCTTCCCGTCCCACCACAGTAAAACCAGGCGGCTGAAACCGGCGCTCCGGCCCCGCCAGCTCTCACTCGGGGTACTACACCCAAACCCAAACCCCCAGGGCTCCGTCAGCCCCACAGCGAACAGCTAGGCCGCCCCGTCGGCCCGCCCCGAGCGGGAGATGGGCCCGCCTCACGCGGGAGCGCGCCTCAGGCCTCGCCGCCTCTGACTGGACCCCGGCTGAGGAGCCGCGAGGCCGGCATGGCCCTGGGGCCCTCGGGCCACAAATTCCTCGCCCACAGTGGCTGGCGGCACCGGAGGCTGACCTCTGCCAGGGCCGGTGGACCCCACCCTTATCTGCCCCCAGGCGTCCAGCCCGCGGCCCCACCTTCCCCGGGGGCCGAGCCAGCCGCCGGTCCTCAACTGCTCGCGGGCCGCTGGGAGGCCGAGCGCCGATTCAGCAGCCCCACCGAGGACCCAGCCTGGCTAAGCCGAGCTCCAAGCAATGGATCTCCGGGGCCCCCAACCCCTCCCGCCGTTCCTCTCACCTCTTCTCCCAAACTGTAATGAACTTTGAACCCTCTCTCACAGGGTACTCTTTTCTAGTAAAATAAGCCTCTCAATCCTGGGTGTTAAGGACCTGCCAAGTTTACTTCTTCCCTGCCCTAGTCTGTCTTTCCAACCTTCAGAACTACCTACCCAGTCTGCCCTTTTAATGCGACCTAGCCAGGCCCAAGTTCTACGACTTCCGTTTTGTTACCTAAAATGTGTTTCACCTATCTTAAAATACCTCAGTCATCCATGAGCTCGATATTTCCCTTTATAAACTTATTTCGGGCATTAAATTTCAAAATGGTTTTAAAAACACAATGACTATACAAACGTTTAAAAAACAATGACAAATGTTCAATACTTTTAACAAAAGCATGCATGTACTAAAACAGTGATATGTTCTTTTTTTTCTTTTAAAGATTTATTTGTTTGAAAGCCAGAGTTACACAGAGGAGAGGCAGAGAGAGACACAGAGAGAGGTCTTCCATCCGGTGGTTCACTCCCTAGTTGGCCACAACGGGGAGCCAGGAGCTTCTTCGGGTCTCCCACAAGGGTGCAGGGGCCAGGACTTGGGCCATCTTCCACTGCTTTCCCAGGCCACAGCAGAGAGCTGGATTGAAGGGGAACAGCCCAGTCTCGAACTGGCGCCCTTATGGGTTGTCAGCACTAGCAGCCGCAACTTTTACCTGCTACACCACAGCGCTGGCCCCAAATAATATGTTCTTATCCTGTATATGTGAACAACTATGAAAGTAAGTTCTGCTTTTAAGTGTCTTTAACAAAATTGTTTACAGAATGTTGGCAAGGAATGTTTCTCACAGGAAAACTTTTGTAGATGGTAGATAGCAAAGAATGATGCCTTCCTGGCAAAAATACTTACCCTGTCGTTTGGAATTCCCCACCTCTGACATCTAGGGCCCCCTGTTGTCTGCCCAATTCCTATTAGTTCTTTCCTTGTAGCTCTACTGTTGATTAGCTGTATGACCTTGTTCTTTTTTAAAAAAAGAAAAAAAAATTTCTTCATTTTTCATCCTCAGTGAAACTAATAATCCTTAACTCACAGATTCTGTTACGAAGATTAAATAATATTTGTGATAGTCCTAGCACACAGAAAATGCTCGTTAATATTAATTTCTTTCTCATTCGCTATTATTATATTATTCCAATAATATGATAAACCAATCATTTCTTTTTTTTTTTAACTTTCACTTAGAGGCTGATATTGTGGCACAATGGGTCGGGATGCAACTTGGAATGCCTGTATCCTATATTGAAGTGTCAGTTTAAGTTCTGGAAACCCTGCTTCTGATCTATCTTCTGCTAGTGCACTGGGATGCTGCAGGTGATGGCTCAGGTGCTCCAGCCCCTTCCACCTCATGGGAGAGCTGATGGATCTGGCTACTGGTTTGGGCCTGGTCTACCCCTGGCTGTTGAAGGCTTTTGGGAAATGAACCAGGGGATGAAGATCTCTCACTGTGTGTGTGTGTGTGTTTCTGCCTTTCAAGGACATGAAAATAAACACTTAAATTTATTTATTTGACAAGCAGAGAAACCAACAGAGAGAGAGAGAGAAGCGCTCCCACCCACTGGTTCACTCAAATGCCTGCAATGCCTTGGGCTGGAGTAGAAGACAGGAGCAGGAAAGCAATCTAGGTCTCACACAAGGGAGACAGGAACCCAGTTGTTGAACCATTGCCACCGCCTCCCTTAGTCTGAATTTCAGGAAGCTGGAGTCAGGAACTGGAACCCCAAATCAGCTATATTGTAGCATTTATCAGAAGTTCATTCTTTTTAAGGCAGAATAATTTTCCATTGTATGTATGTACTATATTTTGTTTATGCATTTGCTATTCTGATCCATGGGCAATTGGGTTATTTCTATTCTTTGGCTAATTTAAATAATGCTATTATGAGCACTGATCTATAAATATCTGACACACTGTTTTGAGGTTTTCTTTTGGAAATATATTTAGGAATGGTATTGCTGATCACATAGAATTTCCATGTTTAATATTTTGAGAAATCACTGAACTGATTTCCATAGCAGTTGCACTATTTTCATTCCTACTGACAAAGTATCTAATTTCTCCACATCCTGACCAATACTTATTTTCCATTTTTAACATTACAGTCATCCTAGTAGGTATGAAATGGTATCTCATAGTGGTTTCAGTTTGCATATCCCTAATGACTAATGACATTGAGCATCTTTTCCTGTGTTTAATGGTGATTTGAATATCTTCTTCAGAGAAATGCTTTACAACTCCTTTGCCAGTTTGAGGGAGTTATTCATCCTTTTGTTTTTGAGTTTTAGGAGTTCTTTGTTATCTTTGGGCATTAATCTCTTACCAGGTATATGATTTGCAAATATTTTCTGCTCTTCAACAGATTGTCTTTTGCTTTCTTGCTATTATATTTTGATGCACAGAAATTCTTAATTTTGATGAAGTCCAATTTATCTATTTCTCTTTTATTCCGTGTGTGTGTGTGTGTGTGTGATATACATGAAGTCATTGCCAAATACAATATCATGAAGATTAATCTGTGTTTACTCTTTTTTTTTTTTTTTTTTCTTTTTGACAGGCAGAGTGGACAGTGAGAGAAAGAGTCAGAGAGAGAAAGGTCTTCCTTTGCCGCTGGTTCACCCTCCAATGGCCGCCGCTGCAGCCAGCGCACCGCGCTGATCCTGGCAGGAGCCAGGAGCCAGGTGCTTTTCCTGGTCTCCCATGGGGTGCAGGGCCCAAGCACCTGGGCCATCCTCCACTGCACTCCCTGGCCATAGCAGAGAGCTGGCCTGGAAGAGGGGCAACCGGGACAGAATCCGGCGCCCCAACCGGGACTAGAACCCGGTGTGCCGGCGCCGCAAGGTGGAGGATTAGCCTATTGAGCCACGGCGCCGGCTCTGTTGTTTACTTCTAAGAGTTTTAGAGTTTTTGTTCTTATGTTTAGGTCTTTCATCTATTTGGAACTCATCCTGGACCAACAAGTTATTCAGTGTAGAATAGGGTTAAAGGCATGTCCCATTTGAAATGAAAAACAGAGGAGGATGTAGTTTCCAAGAATTTTGGCAGAGCTTAAAAGACAAATAATGGGTGTTCAACCTATGAGCAACACAGGGTTCTCTCAATACATTTGACACCATAAGTTCTAGCTTATCTATTCAACTTAAACTTTTCTCTACCTTGAACCTTCCACTCCTTTTAAACTCTGATTATTCAGGAGAAAATGTTGAAAAATCAGTGTTAATGGCCCTAAAAAGGCAGGAAGCAAGAAATGTTGAGATTTCAGGGCTATTTTTCTGTTGATGACAGCCAAAGACATGTATTTATTGTTAGATTTGGGAAGAATCTGAGAATTATAGATGCCTGAATTAATGTCTGAGAAAAAAAATAAATCTTGTTTGGTATGAAGGGATTCTTAAGAACAAAGACATATTCAGGAAGTTGTATACAGCTCTTTGTGGAAGAGTCCAGTGCTTTCTAAGCATTCAGTGGCAAAATGCTAATTGAATTAAACACAAATCAAATGATTGTTCTTTAGAGAAAAATTAAATAAGTATTTATGTAGTCAGGGAAATAATAGGCTTAAATTGACTAGAAATGAATCCTTTGAGTCCCAGTTGCTAACAAGGACATTAAATGGTGCTGCACAAGATGCAGTATATGCTAGTACCCATATTTTCAGGTGATCTGGTTTTTATTTTTTTCTTCAAACAGTTTAATCCTCTCACCAAATGAACTTGAATTATCCTCTGTTCTCCAAATGAGACTGCCAAACATTGTGTTCCAATTAGACACAGAACCAAAGCATCCCACAGCTAAGTCAGCCAAAGTGTGTTACAAGGAATCCATATATTCCATAGAAATCAGTTGATAAAAATCCAGCATTCTATGGCTATTCTTTGTATTTAATTATGTAACTAGAGTCCAAAATGTGGTAACACAAATCCTGAAGAAGTAAACATCTCCACAAAGAAACTTGGGGACAACGAGCAATATTCCATACTGGAATATAATTATTTCTGTTAAAAATGAATACTATTTACTTCAAGAGGAGTAAGTGGAATGTAACCAGTACAGTAACTTGTATTTAGGTTCATGTAATAATCTGTACACACTTTTCGCTGCAGATTATACTAGTTTGAGTCATTCTTAGTAAATTCTTTTGCCATTATAAGTTCCACAGATAAGTAGGTATTAATACTTCCTTCAGATGGTTAGTGTCTGACTGAGACAGACCATTCCTACATATTATAGTCAAGAGTCTGGCATCCAAAATCTTATATAATCTTAAATAAAATTATTTTAATGAAACATAAATACATTATAGCTGAAAAAAGATTATCTGAGGAACTTCTAAAAGCTACTCACAGACATGGCTAAAGATAAGTAAATGTCAGGAATCTGAGTATGAAACAGACTTTATTTATTTTTTTAAGATTTATTTATTTATTTGAAAGTCAGAGTTACATAGAGAGAGAGGAGAGGCAGAGAGAGAGAGATCTTCCATCTACTGGTTCACTCCCCAATTGGCCGCAACAGCCGGAGCTGCACTGATCCTAAGCCAGGAGCTTCTTCCGGATCTCCCATGTGGGTGCAGGGCCATCTTCTACTGCTTTCCCAGGCCACAGCAGAGAGCTAGATCGGAAGTGGAGCAGCTGGGACTAGAACCAACGCCCATATGGGATGCCAGCGCTTCAGGCCAGGGCATTAACCCACTGCGCCACAGCGCTGGCCCTGAAACAGACTTTAAAACAGGCATTTAAAAAAAAAATCTCAGGACAAGACAGAAAAAAATTGACAGAATCTTGTAGTCATATAATCAAAGATTGATTAATATTGTATATATGTTGTTTAAGTTTCTAGAAGTGATATAATTTTGTAGTTAACTAAAAGACCTTGCAATATTATAAACAACCAGCTAAGGTACTGCACAGACTGG